GAAACATCAATCTGTTGCCTCTCACGTGCCCCCAACTGAGAACCTGGCCCGCAGCCCAAGCATGTGTCCTGACGGGAAATCGAGCCAGTGACATTTCCGTTCGCAGGCCGGCACTCAGTCCACTGAGCCACGCCAGCCAGGGCCATTACTTTTTAAACACTATTTTATTTATTTACCTTTATAGAGAGGGGAAGAGAAGGAGAAACAGAGGGTGAGAAGCATCCATCGGCTGTCTCTCCTAGGCACCCTGATCAGCGACCTTTTACTTTGCAGGACAACCACCAACCAACTGAGCCACCCCAGTGAGGGGGACATCTTTACTTCTTAAGCCATCTTATTCTGTTCAAGGGCTGCATGATATTCTAATGCATGGTTGTGCTATAACGCATTAGCTAATCTATTGATAGACACTGCACTGGACATTTGTGTTTTCTGGCTGAACAGCTCCTTTGGGACACTTGCACTTGCTGAAAAACTCACTATCCAACCTCCTTTGAAGCTCCAGCAACCATGCCAGTTTCCAGATCAGAAATGGACTGCAGGAGGAAATGGGCTTTGGGGCAGGACATCCATTTTGCTGGCAAGGGTGCAGCAGAGCCCTGCTGCTTTGGGACAGGAGAGGGTACACAGTAACTTTCTGATGCAGAAGTTAAACATTGAGTTATCACATGACCCAGTAATTGCAATCCTAGGTCTATAACCAAGAGAATTGGAAACATATCTACATAAAAACTTGTACATGAATGTCCATTACGACATTATTCATAATAGCCAAGAAGTGAGAATGACCCAAATGTTCATCAACTGTTGAATGGATAAAGAAAATATTGTATAGTCACACAACATAATATTTTTCAGCAATAAAAAGGAATTAACTACTGACACATGCTACAATGTGGACCCAGAGAACGTTAAGTGAAAGAAGCCAGTCACAAAGAACCACATATTTTATGATCCCATTTACATGAAACATTCAAAATACACAAAGCCATAAAGTTAGAAAGCAGAACCCTACATCCAGTGTCACTGGAGACAGCACAGGGAGTCACCAGCCAGGAGACAGCCCTAGAGGGGGACCTGGACATTATTCCCACCTGACAGCAAAGTAACTAAACGTAAAAGGTACTACTGGTAAAGTCAGGTTGGAGAAAAAAACGTAACTGGTCCTTGGCAAGTATGCAACTCAACCGGTGGGAGCCATGTGTGTACAACTGCTTTAGAGAGTAGCCTGTTAGTGCCAGGATTTTAGTGGATGTTGGTCAGTATGTTTTGCACAGTAAATGGGGAGCATCTCTCAATTTGCTGAGGTTCTTAAGCAGAGGTTGATTAGGATTACTGCTGCATTTCTACAGGGGAATATTCCAAGTTAAGTGGACCTTTTGCATCTGAGTCTGCTTGCAACATTTTTAGTTACAGTGCTGGTCCAAAGACCAAGAGAGGAGCCCACTGTTAAGCACCATCCACGCTTTGGGTATTGAGGACCCCATGTGGACAGTTCAGAGCCACACCTCCCTGGAATTGCCTGTCAGAAAGAAATAAAACTCACAAAGGAGACTCTGCCTGGAAAGCCACTGAGATCTGGTATGCCCAGCATCCAGGAAGACCAGTTTCTACGCTCTTGTCATCCAGGACAATCAAATTAATCTATAAATTTTATGTAACCTCAACCAAATCTTAATAGGATTTTTAAATTGGAATTTAATCATTCTGATTCTCTTCTGGAAAATGTTCAATAGCAGCCAGAAAAATCTGAATAAAATTATTGAATGGGAATCTCCCTGTATGAAAATATAAATATAAACATATGTAAATATGTAAACATAATACAAATATATTTAGTAATATGAAATTAAAGGGATTGAAGTAGACAAATAAATCAGTGGAACAGAATAAAATGCAGAACAGAGCCCTATTTGTGTGCAAATTAAACTTACAATAGAGGGGACATTTAAAATTTGTGTGGGAAGGCTGGCTTTTTCAATGAACCACGTGAGATGGCTGGTTAGCTATTGAAGGGAAAATGTTAGATTGAACCTCCTGCTTCATCACCTCAAACATGGATGGTACAAAGAGTTTAACAATTAGAAAAAAAGTTAAAACATTTTAAAAGCCTTTAAACTATATTTTTAATAATATTGGGGTAGAGAATGCTTTCCTAGACAAGATATAAAACCCAGAATTATTAAAAAAAAAAAACCTGAAAGATCTGTTCTCATAAAATTTAAACTTCTTCTAAAAGAAATGCTATAATAAAAGTTAAAATAAAAGGCAAAGAGTGGGAGAAAAATTGTTGTATTGAATTAATATCCAGACAATTACTTCAATTGACAAAGGATATGACCAGGAATTTCACAGAAAAATCCAAACCAAAAAAAAGAGGAAGAGGAGAAGGGGGAGGGAGAAAAGAAGAGAAAAAAAAAAATGCTCAAACTCAATAGTAATGAAGAAAAGCCAATTAAATGAAATTATTTTTTGCTCATCAGATTGTGCAGCATTTAAAAAATTGCTTGTCTAATGCCACAGTTTCTGTTACGTAATAGTGCTTAAATTGCAATCATTTCTAAATGGTTTATAATTTCCAGTGTGATTTATCTTTCATACAGATGTCATTTAGAAGTGTTTTTTAAACTTCCAGATGTATAGGGCTTTGAAAAGTACTTCAGTATTGGTAATACATGAATTGTATTAGTATCAATATCAAAGTGTATAAAAAGATGCAGAGGGATGAGAGAGAAGACCCCCCTCCCGCCCTGGTTTCCGTACCATCCTGTCCTTTCTCACCAGCATTCATCATTGTTAGTTTCTCCTGTACCCTTCCAGACAGTAAATGTACACAAACAAGCATTAATGTGCTGTTTTCCTTATCACCGTGCTACAAAAGGGGGCATGTTATATGATTCTGCATCTTGCCTTTCTTCTTAATGTACTGAAAATGAGAGCTGTGTCAATGACTATCATACATTAGATTAAAATTTTTATTGCAAAATATACATGGAGCATATAAAACATGTTTGTAGCTCTGGCTGGTGTGGCTCACTGGATTGAGCACCAGCCTGCAAACCAAGGGGGTCCGCTGGTTCAATTCCCAGTCAGGGCACATGCCTGGGTTGCAGGCCATGTTCCCAGGAGGGGCTGTGCGAGAGGCAATCACACACCTGATGTTTCTCTTCCTTTCTTTCTCCCCCCCTTCCCCTCTCTTTAAAAATACATAAATAAAATCTTTTTAAAAATAAAAATAAAACATGTTTGCAATGCTTAAAGCAAACCTTTACAATATTCCCACCCAGGGAAGAGTTAATACCTACAAACCCTGCCCCTCCCAATCATATCATCTACCCTGTTTGCTCAAAGTAATCATTCTCCTGGATGTTCTCTATATTTTTACCACCTTCATATGCATCCATAAACAACAGAGCTTATTTGTGTCCATATTGAGCTTTAACAAATGGAAAGCACAGTGTTTTCAGTTTGTCACTCTGTCTGGGTAGCCCAGTTGGTTAGAACATCGTCCCTATACGCCAAGGTTGAAGGTTTGATCCTGGTCAGGGCACATCCAAGAAATCAACCAATGAATGTGTAAATAAGGGGAACAACATATCAATGTTTCTCTAAAATCAATCAACAAAAAAATTTTAAAAAGCACTTCAGCTTGTTATGTGTGACTATGTTTAATTTTTGGTCTTTGCTGCATAGCATTCTGATAAGAGTGTAGTAGCCCTAGATTTTATGGACTTCGGGTTGTCTCCACTTTGGAGTAATTATGTTGCTATGAGTTTTTTTACATCTCCTGATTCAGGGCAGCCATTTTCAGAGAGGTCAACAAACCCTCTAGGGTTCCCTGAAACCTTAATGAGGACCTTATTTATCACTGAAGTTAAAGCTAGTTTTCTGATACTAGGATATAATGCGGACATTGCGGCAATGGTACAAAAGCAATGAGTAAGCCTTTAGCAAGAATCAAGTCAATGGCTCGCAACTATACATGAAGTCATTTTCAGCCAACCTAGTATGTAATTGAATCTTGTTTTTAATTGGCATTTCTTTCATTACTAACAATCAATTTTTCACATGTCAATAGGCCATTTGCATTTACTCTTGTAAAATGTCAGTTCAAATCTTTTCCCCATTTTTAACAGGACAGTTTCTTTTTTTATGTTGTAAGGTCTTTAAATTTTTATTTATTGATTTTAGAGAGGGAGAGAGGAAGGTAGAGAAACATCAATTTCTCGTTCCACTTATTTACGCATTCTTTGGTTGCTTCGTGTCCTGACTGGGGATGGAACCCACAACCTGGGTGTACTGGGCCATTGCTCTAACAAACTGAGCTGCCTGGCCAGAGCATGAGGTGTTCTTTAAGTCAGCTTCACGTGACACAAATTTTCTCTACTTCTTTATGTTGTCTATTTCACTCTTTTAATGGTTTCTTTCACTGAAGATAAGTTTTAAACCTTAATATGGTCAAATTCATCATTCAATTGACAAGCCTTTGTTTTGAGCTTCCAGATGACTGTGCTGACTAGAATATCAAGTATGTCAAGTACAACCGTGAGATGAAACTGTAATAGCAATCTTCTTTATCTTGTTCCTGATCTCAAAGGGAGAACTTTTCAACACTTCATTAAAATTTCCTGCAACCCAGGCATGTGCAGGAATGAAACCAGCGACCCTTTGGCTTGCAGGCCAGCACTCAAGCCACCTAGCCACACCAGCCAGGGCTTGGATACTCTTTTTAAAGCCGAGTACCAGCATTCTTCTAGCATCAAAAGTGAAAATCTCAGAGCAGCAAGGGAAGAGCTGCATTCTTTCCCCTTGCTGCTTCTCATTCCTGGGGCTCAGCAGGGGACAGACTGAGCCACAAGGGATGAGAAGCAGAAGAGGGAGCAGGCATCTTTCACCCTGACGAACACAGTGCTGCCCCCTGCAGACATGCCAGGGACATGGCTTGAAACATCATGGAGCCAGAGCTGGTCCCCAGTTTCTCCTTAGTAGACCTGTGCGTGGGAAATGAGGGCTCTTGGCCTCTCCAGGGATGGGCTGGGGTAGACAAGAGCAGCTGCAGACAGTACAAGAGCCCAGATTCCAGTTCCAATGTTACTTTTATTCCCTAGGAACAAAGATATGTGGGGAAGAAACTCCAAAAGTTAACAGGAGCGCAAATGACAAAGTGACACTAGGTTGGCATGGCTCAGGAGTCAAGATGGACACTCCACGGTGTACCTGGTCTTGCCCTGGTCTCTAAGATCAACCTCTGCCCCATCCCTAAGTGCCCATGAGAGGTGGGGCTGGGGCAGTCGGGGGGGAAGCTTCCCCTACTCTACACAAAGCAGATGAATGTACCTGTATATTCCAAGAGGCCTCCCAAGAACACCAAAACCTCCCTCTCAAAACTGGAGGTAGACAGGTAAGAATGAGGGTGATCTGGGTGTCACAGACAACCTGACACAAGGGTCACAGGGGTCCTTAGTGGCAGACAGAATCTGTGCTTAGATGAGATTGCAAGGGAAGCAACAGCTAGTTTACAGTGGAGGTGGTCAATCTTGTCAGATCAAGTCCCATGGCAGCGGTAACCTGCACTGTGGTTTCCATCCACTTCAAAAGAGCTTGGAGTTCAATCAGAAGCTATTATCCCTTTACCCTGAGGATTCTCTACTATCCTCTTTTCTGACAAAGTCCTGTCCTATCCTCACACCTCCCGTGATAATGGCAGCTTCTACTGCAACACAGACCCCTAAGAACAAGGTCCTTTGGTGTAAGCTAGGTCATCTGGTCATGCAGTGTCCTGCAGAACACATCAAGTAGCTCCTCCCGTATCACAGGGTAGACTCAGGCTGGTTCCTGAGTCCAGATCACAGTGAGGTCTCCTGGAGGATGCAGGTGGGGCTGCTGCCCTGGTAGACTGGGCCTTCCTCGGGCACGGCCATGGCCTCCTTCTCTCCGCAGCCCTTCAGCATCCCATTACTCATCTTCTCCGGGAACCCTCTGGTGTCCACAGAGAGGTCCTGGGGACACACAGGGCAAAGGGATGGACTGAGGAGCAGGAGACGAAGGGCTGGGGAAACGACGCTGGCGGAACGGGTGGAAGACCCCGCCTGGGCCCCAGCTGGAGGGGCAGCAGCACGACGGGGAGCAGAGGAGAGGCCGGCACCCCTGCGTCTCTGCGCCCAGACCCTCCTGCCCGAGCCGGCGCTCCCCCACGGGGAGGAGCTGGGGCAGCTGCCGCAGGCCAGGCCGGGCCCAGGCTATCATCAGAGAGGCGTGCTGGGTGTGGGGAGAAAGAAAAGGGACGGAAGGGCCCCAGAAGGTCAGGCGGTAGTGTGGAGAGGGGCGGAAGGGGGCCCTGCGGGCAACACAGGCACTACCTGGCTGCAGGTTTTGCAGTGGAGTCGCTTCTGACAGGACGCAGGCAGGAGGGCCAGGAGTCTTGGCAACACTGGGTAAATGGTCCGAGGGTTCAGGGTCCGGCCCCGCATTCCCCCTGAAGGTCAAGGTGCCTGAGTCTCACCACGTAACCAGTGTACAATCTAGCAAGCCCTCTGTTGTCATGGTTCCCAGCCCCGCCCATCTCCTGGAGCTCAGCCAAGAAACCTGACTGTTAAAGATACCAGGAGCCCCAAGGGCAGGGTCGATTCTTTCCCCCCAAAGTCCAGATTCCCTGAGTGCCCTCCCTCAGCCCACCCTGTTTTTTTACGACCCCATCGCACACCCTCTCACCAGTGAGGAGACTGACAATCAGGCCCACCACAATGACTGTGGTGGAGTTGTGAGCGCTGTACCATAAATATGACAGGGAATAGAGCCGCTGCAGCCCTGTGGGCCTGGGGAGAATGGAGGAGTGAGGACAATTCATTGACAGGGAATTCTTTGGCCACCTGTCTCTATCCACCTGCATGGTCCTAGGGTCTTGGGACCCAACACCCAACATTTTCCTGGGCTTCTGGTGGCCCATTCTTTAGCAAGGCCCCTGGGAAGTCCCTCAAAAATGAGCTATTCTCCTGAAGGAGAGAGACCTAACTCACCTGGCGAAGGTGGCTGAGGGCATCAGCGTGGTCATGGTGACAGTGGACAGATTGCTGGGCAGGAACCAGCTGGATACGTTAGAGGGTGAGGGTGCTATGCTGGAGCCCATTCTGGTCACTATGCTCCCAATGCCGATCCAGAAAGCCATGACGAGGCCAGCCAACAGGCCCACAATGGCACCCTGCCCAATGACACGGCGCACTTTCCTGTCACAATGCCAGCCCTACCAAACCATCACGCCAGTTCCCAGCACTCATGGTGAGGGCCCTGCCAAGCCACCCCCCGGGTCCATCCCCCCACGTGACTGTGGAGCCAGATGGGTCACTCACAGGAGGGTTGGCACAAGGGAAGAACATGCCAAGGCAGAAGAGTCCTAGCAGCGGCCCCCCAACCATGCCGAAGATGCTGATTGCTGCCTGCGGGGAACGGGGTTGGGAAAAAAACAGAGGCTGAGCCCCAGCCTCGTCAACACCGCCTCCGAGCTCACCTCTTCCATCTGGACCCAGCATGATCAGGATTCCAGGGGCAGGGATGAGGAAGGGAGAGTGCTTTGGGCTCTCCTCTGAGGCTGACCTTTAGCATCTATGAGCCAACAAGGTCCCAGGAATGACTCTGGGCCTTTGGCTACTTGAGTCTGCTCAGAGCTAACGGCAGGCCATTGAAGGGGAATGAATTTCTGACACCTGTCCCTATTTTATTCCCTTCACGATAGCTGCGTTCCTCAATTCCCAGTTCCAGTCTGCTCTTTTCTCCCCTAAAACTTGCTTTCTTCCCTCCATAGTCATTACCTACCTGCAACACTGGTCCCATCTGGGAGGAAACATAGGCCATTCCCAGGCAGAGTAGCCCATAGCTAAAGGCTGGGGCAAAAGAAGGGAGGAGACAAGATATGAGTAAGCACAGGAAAGAGGGGTGGGAAGTAGAGCAAAGCTCCTCCCCTGGGCAGACCGCCACCTCTGTGTCCCTGGAAACAGGGCACATTTATGCCCCAGCTCCAGGTCCCTCTCCGCACCTGTCCGCACCCCTATCTGACTCAGAGACCTCACCAGGAAGTGCCCTGAGCTGCAGACGAGGTACCGTGCTTCATCCAATAAATCGGCAAGTGCTGAGCCCAGGCTAACGCTGGTGCTTTAAAGCAGACTGGTGACAGGGCTCGACACGGCTGCCAGGGCTCCCAGGGCTCAATATCTTAGAACAAGACTGAGGAGATAAGGAAGCATGATCCTACCAAGGATTCTGGAAAGCATGGTAGCCCGGCCTTCTGAGAACTGAGGGAACCAGGGTCGAATCAGGTCTTCCATCGTAACAGTTGCCAGTGAATTAAAAGCAGAGGATATGGTGCTGAAAGGAGGAAGGGAAAGACAACTTGCACTGAGAGAAGCAAAACTAACAAGGGACTCTATTGAGGGAATAGCTGCCTAAAGGCAGGGGATGACCTGTGAAGTCAAGAAATGTTCCTCACACTTGGCAGCCGAGGAGGAAGGCTGGAAGGTAAGGACACTTGTCCGTTTTTGAGGGGGTACAGGTTTTGTTTAGTTGATCAACTCCTGGTATTATAGAAGAGCCCTTCATCTCCTGGGAGAGGACACGCTCTGCCCAACACAAATGAGCTGTCCCTTGTCACCGCCCAATGGATGAGCATAATGAGGCATCCCCTCCTCCACCTGGCGCCCTGCAGCACACATGCGTCAGCTGCGCCGAGCCTGAGGGAAAGAGTCAAAGACGGTACCTGAGGGAGCCGCTGAAGAGGCAGGCGACAAAGAGCCCAGGCAGGCCTGGCAGGTCTTTCAGGAGATCCATCACGAAATACAGGACAAACTGGAGGTAGAGCAGAAGCACACAGCTCTCCTAAGAGGTGGGCCCTCCCCAAGCGCACAGCGCACAGGACGCCCTGCCCATGACCCAGCCGGTCTGGAGCATCAGGAAGAGGGGCCTAGTGCCAAAAGTGACCCCACAGTAAGGAGAGAGAAAATCTATCTGGAAAGAGGACCTGCTTCATACCCCAGCTCTGACCCATCTAGCAATATGATCTGAGCACGCTGACCGTCCAGTTAAGCCTCTTTTCTCTATAAAAGGAGGCTGTTGGGAGGGTTTCATGAGGCCAGGTGGAACACAGTGGTGAGTCAGTGCAGGCAGGTCCCCACCCAGCAAGGTGATATGATTAGGTGACAGTGGGGCGTGGAGGGCTAGGGTCCCCACATCTAAATCAACAGAATCCCAGCATGGAAGAAATTTTAAATCCACTTCCCCCCCCAGGATGGAAGTCCTTTCTGCAGCTATCCAGTAACTCCTCTTAAGGGGCCCAGGTTGACCCCTCTTGGGCACAGAAGGGGGCCAGAAAGGCCGTCTCACCTGGTCAGGGGCTGCCTGACTCTGCTGGGGGCTCATGGGATACTCCTGGTAGTAGGCGAACATGACCAGGCCAATGAGGCAGCCCATGCTGAGGACCACCTGCTGGCAAGGGAAGACCGCATAGCAGGAGCTGCAAAGGAAGCCAGGGCCGAGGGGAGTGCGGGGCTTAACAGATACCCTCAGGCATGTCCCTGAGCCCCAGAACGCAGACTCACATCCTGACCCCAATGCAGGGGTGTGCTGACATCCTGCCCCCACTCAGACTGCCTCCGTGGATCCGGGGCCCACCCTCTTCCCCCAGCCCTTGCTCCCCCGTCTCCCTGTCCCTGCACTCACAGTACAGCAGCCTTCTCTGTGCGGGAGCTGAGGTAGCGCTGCACCTGAGCCTGGTTCACCCCATATAAGGACAGCATCATGAAGACACCCCCGAAGGCCAAGGTCCAGAAAGTATGCCGCACGAAAGGGTCCGGGTCGAGACTGAAATAAATGCTGCCTTGTTACTGCGGGGCTAAGCAACTACTGAAGTCAAGAACTGGGTGGCCTCAAGAGACAGGCTAGCAAGCTGGAGGGAGGGCTCCCTTCCTCCAACCCAGAGGCTCATTCCAGGCACGAACAGTGCCTGACCCTTCTTAACCACCAGCTGCAGCCCTGTGATCAGCCTCCCCCTCTGGAGTGCCAGCTTCCCACCCGCCTCCGTGCTGCACCTAAGGCTTCTGCTGCCCGCCCTCTGCTCACTGTAACCCTATGCGCTGCAGTCCCCAGTCAGGGCAAGGGGTGTACTTACTTGATCCCAGAGATGAGGCCATGCTGCGAGGCCACGTCCCACACATGCCCCAAGCTGCCCACCTTGGCTGACCCCACGATGATAACCGCCAGCTGCCCTAGGAACATGACCAGTGTCTGGAACACATCTGTCCAGATGACTGCCTTTAGCCCACCCTGGAAGAAAAACAGCATGCCTGACACAAATGTCTTCAAAACCATCCACAGGGAGGACGCAACATCACCAGCAAGGGTGCTACATTACATCGCTGCCAGCGGCATAACCCCTAAGACTCTGTTGACATCATTTCGACCCCATCCCTTATCTTCACATGCCGTCCCCTCTCCTCCATCCCATCTCCTATATCTCATTCCATTCATCCCTAGAATTTCATTCCACCTTCTCACCTATATCCTTATCTCATCTCTCCTCCTACCTTATCTCATTCATCCCTCCTTTTCCTTTTCTTCCATTTCACCTCCCTACTTCGTCTGTTCTCCCTCCTCCCCCAAGACTTGCCGCACTCACCAGAGCTGTGTAAATGGTACAGACAATGCCTAGGGCCAGCACTGAGAGCCACAGATCAAAGCCAGTCACTGTAAAGAGACAAAAGTCACATGTGCATCTCTGGAAGAGGATTTCCTAGTGGGGAAGCCAGAGAAGCCCTGGTAAGACATGAAGCATTTGGTCATTTAGGACGAAATAAATCATTCACCACGGTGGAAAAAAATGCACACAGAGCTCCACCAAAAGGTGGTGTTTAACCAATTCAGACAGGGCACGGCCATGTCTGATTAGCTGTCAGTGAAGTGAGGCAACCTGCTCTCACCTCTGGTGGAGACCCGCCAAGGGCCACACAGTGAATGATTCCTAGGCCGAGGTCAGGTTCTTTTCTGCACACTCCTCTCTCCCCACCTCCACCCCTCCCAAAGGCGCTCCCCTGGCCCTACTGGGGCTGGGGACGGGGCTGTGACTCACCTGCGTTGAGGGCCAGTGATGGCGCATAGAGCACAACCCCCATGTAGATCACCTGTGGGGTACAGAAGAAAGCATGGGAGGGGAAGAGCGGTGCGGGGGGCAGGGAGTGGAGGAAAGATGGACCTTGGCTCCAATATCCCAACAGCCTCCTCTCACCTAGGCTTACTGCCTTCTCCCTTCTTCCAAACTTTGGCTCGCGGCCACCACAGTGTCTGTGGAACCGGCAGGAATGGAGAGCAGGACGCCTCTGGGGGCGTTGGGGGCACCAACCCCAGGCAGGAATCTTACTCCTGCCAGTGTGAGAGCAGGGGAGGCTCCAGCTGCCTTGGCTGGCCCGCGTTCAGGCCCCCCACCGTGCCCCAGGCTCCGTGCTAGCCTCACTCCACTCACCATCTGGAAGATGAAGGTCAAGGTCCCAAAAACTCGCACAGTTTTATTGAATCGGAGCTCCAGGTACTAAGAAGGAATTTTAAAAAAACACCAGAAAACACACAAGGCATTCCTCCCCACTCCACCCTCCACAATGCACACGTCATTTCCCTCAAGGGGTCTAGAAAGATCAGAGGATATCCCATCCACATCCACTCTGGCCCCACTCAGCGCAGCAGCCTCCTGGCCCCCCGGCTTGACCTCACCCGGAAAGAACCTATAAATACATGACGTGGTCCCTGTCACTCTCATTAGGCACAGGTAATCGGAGGGTCCAGATCCCTCACATGTGCCCTCTCCCCGCTCTCCATCCCTGAGCCTGAGGGTCTAGTGTGCGCCTCCCTTGCTCCCTGCTCACCTCATAGGCACTGGTGAGATGCAGACGGTAGAAGACAGGGATGAAGACGTGTGCAGGGATCAGCAGCCCCAGCAAATACGAGCAGCCCAGGAACCAATACTGGGTCCCATTTCGGTAGATCTCAGACGGCACCCCCAGGATGGCCACAGCCGACTGGAAGGTGGCCAGCAGGGACAGCGCCACGGGAAGGCAGCCCATTTTGCGGTCGGCGATCTGCAGCTGGCCGATGGTATGCCGGCCCCAGCCATGGCAGGCATGGTAAAGCCCGATGGCAAGGGAGAGAACCAGCACCAGGATGAAGACCACATAGTCCACAAGGGAGAAGGCAGATTGTACCATGCCTGGCTCTGAGGCTGTGGGGAGGGGTGCGGGGGAGGTCACCCCCAGACTCATGTCCTCTCTGTGTCTATGACCTGTAGACACTGGCTGCTCCTGGGTTCTGGCCTGCCACTTGGCTGGGAAGTGACAAGCAAGTGGCTACCACCTGGCTCTCAACCAAGGTCTCACGGTCCTTCTTCTCCACCAAGTGACATTGTCCAGGATGACCTGCAGAGAAATCAGCTCCTAGTCAGGCCTACCCTGCCTTCATGGCCACCCACTCTCAGACCTGTGCATCCTATACACACCAAACTTGGACCAGCCAGCTCAGTGTCAGACCTTGAAAGTCTGCAGGTCCCAGTATGGCTTTGGTGGGGAAAAAGTAGGGAGGAAGCGGCAGAATGAGACAGCCAGGAGACAACTACTTGGCCAATGCCTTTAGAGCATGCATAGCTGTGAAATATAAGAAACTTCTTAGGTCTTCACCCCATAACAGAGGCAGAATCAACTCTAGCCCATGTTTCTTCTCGGATATCCCTGCCCCCACCTGCAGGCACAGACCCAGTCACCACAGCACACTAAGCCAGCAGAGCCCAACCCGGCGCCACAGCCCAGCGGGGAAGTGAAAAGGAGACTAGTAAGAACAGCATGCCTTCCTCTAGTCCTCTATTCCCCCCGGCCTCAGCGCCCACCTCCCATGATCCCCAGTTTCACCTTGCTGATAGCACCCCTGGCCAGCTCTGATTCCGAATGAGACCACCTCCATGGCCACCCCTAACTCCACTGCAGGCACGCTCTGCTCAACCACTCCATTCTCCCAACACAACTAGGTAAGCCCTGCCACCTACCTTTCAGCTACTCTACCTGTAATGCCACCGTTGATACCAGATCTGGAAAGAGCAATGGGATTCTAAAGTGCGAGGGGTTCCCCACACAAAATGCCCAGGGAAGCCACAGAAACCATCTCTGCTACAGAGCTGGGGTCGCCACAGCCCCAGGCTGAGACAGGGTCTGAAGCAGAATCTGATACTGATGAATCAGTACCAGAGTTCAAGAACAAGATTCCGCACAGGCAATCACAACAAGCCTAGCTGGCAGCAGCAGCTGAAACCGATGAAGATTCAGCCAGTAAAGCCAAGCCAAGCCAAAGTAAAAAGAAGGCACAGAAAAGCTATGTCCAAACTGAGTCTTTGACAGGTGACTAGGGTCACTTTCCAAAAATCTAAGAATATCCTCTTTGTCATCACAAAACCAGATGTCCACAAGAGCCCAGCTTCACACATCTGTATAGTTTTTTTGGAAACCAAGACCAAGGATTTACCTCAGCAAGCACAGCTAGCAGCTGCTGAGAAATTCAAAGTTCAAGGTTAAGTTGTCTCAACCATTCAGGAAAACGCACAGACTCCAACTGGACAAGAGGAGTGAAGAGGAAGAGGCTGATGAAACAGGCGTTAAAGTTAAAGACATGGAATTGGTCATGTCACAAGCAAATGTGTTGGGAGCAAAGGCAGCCTGAGCCCTGAAGAACAGCAGTAATGATACTGTAAATGCTATTACGGAATTAACAATGTGACCATCTAAAAAAAGAGGATTCTTTTTTGGTGTTTCAAAAGAGTAAACTGCAGCTCGGTTTGAAATTTGTACTGTTTCTATCATTAATAAAGTTACAGCTTCTTGTGGGATTAAAAAAAAAAAAAGTGAGAGGACCAGGGGTTCAGAGTTAACGATTACAGGAACTTTGGGGAGAAGCAAACCAGCCAGGGAGCTAGGGCAAGAGGAACAGCCAAGGAGAGTGGTCCTTTCCTGCTGAGACAGACTCCTTACCTAGGGAAGCAATCCCTGTCCTGAGGCAGAGCTGCCTGGAGAAGCTGTGTGTCTGGGGCTGGGCAGAGACGGACAGCCTGGCTCTGTAAGTAGCTACAGTGAGATTAGGAATTGGGGGTGGAGTGAAACTCAGAAGCTATTTGTTCTGGCCCCTTCAGGGAACCAATTGCTGTGATCCAAATGGCCCTATCACCCGATGGCCTCCAAACTCCAGCTCCAGAACAGGGAGCAGGGAGCTCACAGTCAACAACATTCTTAGATGGATTAGGCTTTCATTCTACGCTACACTTGGCACTGTGTGCCAGAGGGAGTTGGAAAGGAAGAGCTGAGAGAAGATGGGAAAGGTGCTCTTCTGACTCCTGCACAAGAAATACTAATTCTCAAATAATATACCATTATCCTTAGAATGAGGACAGGATCATAGTATTTTAAAATTTAAAAGAATCTTAAAGAGATCACTAAGACAACACCCTTGTTTACAAAAGACACAGGGGCTTAGGTCTCATTGATCTTTTCAACACCACAGAGCTGATTACCATCAAAGGCTAGATTAGAACCCTGGTCTATTTACTTCCCCATCCATCCATCCATTATCCATTCATACCATACTGTCTTCAGAAACTATTCCCCTAGGGCGGAAATTTTCAATCTTTTCATCTCCATGGCACACATAAACTAATTCCTACAGTTCTGCAGCACACCAAAAAATATATATTTTTTGCCGACAGAACCAAAAAAATAAACAGGTATTAATTTTGACTCATTCACACCAGATGGCTGTTGCTGTGTTGACTGTTGTCATTTGTTTATTTGACAATCTAGAAAAGAGGTCAGTGCCCCTGATTAAAAGTCAGGTATTGCATGTTTTAAAAATTCTTGCGGCATACCAGTGTACTTCTTGCAGCACACCAGTTGAAAATCGCTGCCCTAGGGTACTTACTGATATGAGGGAAAAAACACAAGAGAATGACATGCACTTAGATGGCCTAACATGATGACAGTTAACATTTTTTGAATGCCTTCTATGTAACCCAGGAGCATGTTATGTACTTTACATTGTTAATAACTAATTATAATAACTGATAAAAAAATAATTAAAATAAATGAAGACAGAACCATAGCTATCAATCTCAAAACACCAGTTGACTCAAGTTACACACTTTACACGAATACTCCCTAGGAAACTGAAGTTTAGAGAAGTGAAATAACTTCCTTAAGGTGACACAGCATGAAACAAAACACAGGAGAAAGATACAGTCCTATTGGCAGGTTCAACAGGTTATTCACCTGGGGCTCCAACCTTACTACTCCCAGAACAAGGACAGAAGCAGAATGTTAACTGTAGTCAGTCACTCATGGGACAAAGTTTAAATTTCAACTAATGTAGACACAGATCATTATAAGCTACATCTTCTGTTCTTGTTCACTGGGAAAAAGGTGAGCCTGGCTGTCTTCTGGCTCTTCCACACTGTGCTCTTGGGTAGATGTTGCCTACACAGATGAAACCTGAACTCCAGACCTCCTGGGGTCAATGAAGAGAGGAAATCAAAGCTCACCATTCTTGGATCACACGTTACAAATGTCAGTCCTCCGAACAATGTTCCCAGTAGGCCACTCTGGTTTAACCTAAAGATGCCTTGCGTCTTAGTACTTTGCCACAGCTCGTTTTCTCACTCCTCTAGCAATTTTTTTTTTTTTTTTACTGCTGGGCTAGAGGTGAGGGGAATTACTGGAAAGTAAAAGATGGCTGCTGTGTGCAAATAAGAATGTGTAGTGGTAAAGGGTTAGTGATATGGATAGGCAGGTAGTTGGAGAAGGGTTTCAGCATAAACTAAAACAGACATACAGAGCTGGAAACTGCTGGGGTAAACTGGCAGGGTTCCCTGACAGAATTCTACCTGTTTGCACAAGGTGCGGGGAATCCTTCCAGATGTTGGAAGAGAGCAGTCTGGACAGGTCAGGAAAAGCCTGACCCAGTAACAAAGTCACAATCAGACATGATTCTAAGAACAAGATCGTGGCTTTCTAAAAACTCTACACTGATCTGAACCCTATGGACCTGTATCTCTCTGAGAGACCATGAGCCAAACGTAAGAGCTGAGTTGTTTCATTAAAACTGGAACACACAGGGCCCTGCCTAGTGTGCCTCAGTGGATTGAGCACCAGCCTGTGAATCAAAAGATCTCCAGTTCAATTCCCGGTCAGGGCACATGTCTGGATTGTGGGTCACGTCCTGGGTTGGGGGGGCATGCAAGACACAACTGATTGATGTTTCTCTCCCTCTCTAAAAATAAATAAAATCTTAAAAAAAAACAAACCAAAAAACTGGAATACACAGGGTACAAATGGGACCCTTTCCATACAGACACACACACACATTTTTTTTTTAGATATTTTTTTTCCTCTCCCGCACCTATAATGGGGGGCCCGCCTGCAATCGGGGCAAGTGCCCCCTGACTGGGAATTGCACCAGCGACCCTTGCAACCATTCTGATCTTTAGGTTCTAAGGTCGGTACGCAACTCCCAGCCAGGGTGGGGCCCCTCTGCAAATGCTTAAGGCAAGAAAGGAAATCTTTTCCACTACCCCACCCTCACTTCAGTCACAAACTTCACCAGAATTGCTTTGACTCCTCCAAAAGGGGGCCACAGCAAGACCAAATGTCCTAAAAAGAATTCCTTCAAAATCTGACCTTGAGCCTAGAATTCCTCAAGATGTGGAAGGCTTTGGGGCCCCTCACTAAAATGCTAATTTTAATTTAAAACTTAATGCTAACTTTTAATTTTAATTACTAAGGCCTTAATACTCAGTCCCTGCGGGCAAGGCGTCACTCACAATCGCCACCCTGCACCTGTGGGTGAGGGCCAAGGGCACCCTGGATGGAGGCTCGCCTTCCCCTTACCTCCGTGGTTCTGGCAAGACTAAGACGGTCCCGTCGTTCTTTCTGAGATCAGCATGGTTCCCTTCTTCTAGGAAAGCAAAGGAAAGGAGCTAGGGACGCGTCTACGACCCTGCCCCTACCTCCTCCATGGGGCTCCGCACGTCGCGTGGTGTCAGGACCGGGGTGAAGGGGATAGGGTGCCCAAGGCATCCCCGGGCTCGTCCCCTCCTGCCGCGGTCTGCCCTTCGCCCTTCACTCCTCCATCACCCTTACCCTCTCTATTTCCTGGCTTCCCACCTTCCCTCCACAAGCGAGGTGGCGCGAACGCTACTACCACCTCGCCGCGTGTTTTAAGGATTTTCCTGGGCCCCCCAGGCTAGGGAACTGCAAAATTCGCCCCTCCCCTCTTTGTCCCTCCCTCTAAGCTCTGAGGCGGTTCTCGGGCGCCGCTTCGTACCGACTCGCCCCTGTCCGGCCCACCTGCCGGGTCTCCGCGTTTAGGCACGGCACCGCGTGAGAGCGCGGGCCACCGGTCGCCGGCCGATTGACAGCGGGGCCCCGCCCCCTACCCGCCCCGCCATGTGTTTACTGAGGGCTGAAGGAGCAGCCTCGGCGTTCGGACGCTAGGAACGCTAGACTGAAAGAGCGGCGGCGGGGAGGCCTTCGCTAACAGGGAAGAAGGAGACGGTTCTGCCAGTTTCCTCCAACGAGGACGGAGACGCGCGGAGAATAGAGCTGACCTCTGTGGGCAGCAGCAACCCCCAGCACCCATCCACCCAACCCTGACCTACTAGCCCGCACCACTAGTCCGCAACACATGCCTGCACCACTAGTCCACGCCCCCTGGGGGCGGAGCCACGCGCGCAAGTCTCGCGAGTTGCTGAGAAGGACGAAAGGAGCCGGAAAATGTCCCCTCGTCGTCCTGGCAGTCCTTCGATCCCGCTACCCTGGGCTGCGGCCCTGTTCCTCGCTCTGGGCGTGGAAAGGGATCTGGCGCTACCCGAGGTACAGAAGCAAGTTAGAAGTCGGACTGAAGCAGAGGTGTTGGGCCCCCTGGTGTCGCGCTTGCCTGCTCTCGGCTCCTCCCAGCCGAACAGCACCTCCGATTTCGCCCTTGAGGCCTTCCCAGCAGTAATCCAGCTGGCTCCCGCCAACGATTATTCACTCCGCGCAGTTTTCCCAGCGTCCTAGCCCAATCAACTTCCAAAGACCTTTCAACTTTGATCTCGCTTAAACTAAATTCTTTCTACAGATGAGTCCTTTTACTCTTCTCTGGCTCTCCGCGCACGAAAGTTATATCGTGCGGTGGCAGGACTGTACTTTCTGTAATGCTTGATGAGTTCTTTGTGTACGTGCTGTTCTTTTACAATAATCGGCCAAACCAGGGCTGTCAGATTGAGAAGTCACTGGAAAGAACGTAATAAATATGTTCGGTAGTGATCCTCAAAGATGAGGGCCTTCCCTGGACGTAGTCTGGTGCGCTGATTTGGCGCCTGGGAAGAAATGCATCTTTTGGTCAAACCTGATTTAAAGGTAGGACACGTCCCTTCTCTGCGTTAGAGGAGTTCTGGAGAGGTGTACTGGCAGTTAACGGTTGATCCCTCTTTGTTCCTGGCCTTTTTTTTTTTTTTTTCTTCTTTTTGAGTCCTAATAGTTTTCTCTCTTCCGCAGATATGCGTCCAGTGCCCTGGGAGTGTGCGAAATTTGTCAGAAGTGGCCCTTTATTGTAAGCAGACACCAGAGCTAATGTTGCACGCCCGCTGCTGCCTGAATCAGAAGGGCATCATCCTGGGGTGAGGGAGGAGAAGACATCCCTGGATAGTAGAAAAGAGTTCCCAACCTAGATTCATCAAGTCTTGCCTGACTGGTTTTGGGGATAAATATTTTTGCCTGTTTTGGAGGCACTTCAACTGTGATTCTCAGTCTTTTAAATGTTACAGCATTTTTAGCTAGGTAAACAGTCCTGCGTTTCTTCCTGGTTGAAATTACAAACAAGTCTTAATTTTTGCCTGTTTTGATTTAAAGGCTTTTATGGCTTTGTTTTTAAAAGAGTTTTGTTTGTTTGTTTATTATCAAATCTTTTGATTATTTACTGTGTGTGTCTGAAAAGACCCTGTAGCCTCCAGGACACTGTGCTAAAGTGTGTTTTTTTTTCCCCCTTTCTGATTAATTCATGTTTGTTTTTGAGGCACACTCTGCTTCCTGTCCCCTTATCCATGTTAGTCTCTGCATTTTTTTCCCTTTACCCTCTTGAGAATCCACCTAATTTTTACAGCTTCACCTTTAACCACCATGCAGGTGTCTACTAAAACTTGATCTCTTTTAGTGTCCTTTTACCTCTCTCCAAGCAGGTACCTCTAGCTTCCTATTAACATTTCCTCTTTAGTGTACCCTCACTTCAGACTCAAAATGTCATGTCTTGCTTTCATTTTCCTCTTTCCCTAATCTACCTAAATACTTCTGCATTAAACTTTCTGAAAACCAAATTTCTTCCATTACCACCTGATAGCTTTAAAATTAGAATTCCAATTATTTGTCCATCCAGACCCTTTATGAGTGTCTGGCTTGGGTCTACCTCCAAAAGCATTGTACCTTTGTTTCTTTGTTCAGGCCTCTCTCCTTACCCAAAAATGCCTTCCTCCACCAAATGAAGACATATCCATTCTTTTTGCAACATCTTTTGTGAATTTTCCCTACTACTAAATATCAGAGTAATATTTTTTTTACTTCCACTAATCTGTACTACTCATTTATTTGTATACTGTCCTGTGATTTCTTTCATATTATAATATAATGTTTCTATTGTTTTTATTTTTGGTGATCATCTTGTTCCTCTACTACATTGTAAGCCGTTTGAAGGCTAAGACTTTGAGAGGGTTTTTTTAATACTCCAAATGTTTGCAATTAATAAGCACTCAGTAAATATTTGTAGAATAAAGGAACAGACAGCAATAGATACTGGAGAAAATAATGTGACATGGTCCTTAATATCCAGTAGTTTATATCCAAACTGTGGCAGGAAATGCATTTGGAAAAAACCTTCATTTATGTGATTTGAATTTTCTTTCCATTTGAAGATCCTTTGTGAATCTGAGAATCATATATATCATAATGTGAGATTCACTAATCGATACAAAAAACAACTTTCTTCCAATATATGCACAGATACAAAGAACTTTCTGCCATCATGGAAATGTTCCGTATATATACTCTCCATAGCTGTTAACGACATGTTAGTAGTTCTTGAACATTTGAAGGGTGGCTTTGAGAACATTTTAAGTGCAAATGAGGGACTGAATGTTTTTAATTTAAATTAAGTAGCTACACGTAGCGGTGACTGAATTGGACAGTGCAGAATTAAAACATCTACTATAGCACTTAGTTTGTGACCCTGAACCCAGCTGTGTTCAACTAATATTAGCAGAAAAAGGGTTGCATTAGCCTACAGTGGAAAAAGAGGAGAGACACATAGTTGCACTGATTACCTTATTTCCTCAGGCTGGATCTCCAGAACTGTTCTCTGAAGGACCCAGGTCCAGACTTTGCTCAGGCACATACTGCTGTCATCATGTAAGTGGTTATTTTCCCTACCAAAAAGTGCTATAGTGAAGAGTTGATGGGAAAGTCTTTGAGGATGCATTGCCAAAAAGATGTGTGAATACTGGTATCTAAACTTGGACAACTCAGAATGAGAACTGGAATACCATGCTAGGAAGATGTGTGAATGTTAACAGGATGTTTTCCTAAAGTGCAGTGCTAACAGTGCATGCTTTTCAGAGACCTGCAAGCAAACCCCCTCAAGGATGACTTGGCCAACACATTCCGTGGCTTTACCCAGCTCCAGACTCTGTAAGTAATAGTATGGGTTTGGGAGAAAATCAAAGATAGGCAGTGCTGTGAGCTCAGCAACATTGGGTTGCATATTAAGACCACCTTTGTTGTGTTCAGGATACTACCACAAGATGTCAACTGTCCTGGAGGTATTAATGCCTGGAATATTGTCACCACTTATACAAACTATCAAACCTGCCAAGGGCAAAGGAACCTTTGCAATAGCACAGGGGATACAGGTACGCTGTTTCACCTCCACCCTTTTGGGAACTGTTTTTTCCTCCTTTGTTGTTTTTGGGGTTTTTTTAGATTTCTTAAAAATTTAAATTCTTTTTAAAATTTTTATTGATTTGAGGGAAGAGAAGGCGCGGGGGGGGGCGGGGGGAGAAACACTGATTTGTTGTTCCACTTATTTATGCATTCATTGGTTGTTTCTTGTATATGGCCTGACCAGGGATTGAACCTGCAAACTTGGTATATCTGTGTGACACTCTAACCAACTCAGCTACCTTCCAGGGCTTTGCCTTTCCTCCTTTGTAGTCTCCCCGTTAGATAAGAAGACAGTAAAATTGCTTACACACCTTTTGTTTAGGTTTTTGAGGCTCTAACCCCTTGGAAAGAAAAGGTCTTAAAATACATTATTATTTATGTTCTGATTATCTTTGACATAGAAACAATCGAGAGAATCTACATTGAAACATATTTGAGAAACGTATCTAATGAGATCGAGTGATGTTGTGTTTCTCTCTGGCTCCCAGAAATATGTCCTGAGAATGGATCTTGTGTGTCTGATGGTCCAGGTCTTTTGCAATGTATTTGTGCTGATGGATTCCATGGCTACAAGTGTATGCGCCAGGTGAGTAGTTAAATCTCATTAGAGTTAAGAGCATAGTGAAAATCTCTCAGAAAGAAGAAAGCCAGGAGCTGATGCAGATCATGTAGTAAAGGAAACTCCTAAGAGAATTGCTCTGGATGAGGGGATAGGTATACTAGGAAAGAACTGTGTGTTAGGATGTAGCCCTTGGTGTAACCCTGTATGAGTTGTTTTTTGTTGTATTTTTTTTAATACTTTTATTCACAGGGCTCCTTCTCGCTGCTTCTGTTCTTTGGGATTCTGGGATCCACCACATTATCCATCTCTATCCTGCTTTGGGGGACCCAACGCCGAAAAGCGAAGGCTTCATGAACCACATAAGTCTTCCTTCAGACCTAAAGAACACCGCGATCCCACTTAGCCCAGCCAGCAAGATTTGCTTCCGATACCGGCTGGCCAGAGGATCCTGCGCGAGGCCGAGGTTGAAAGGAAGATGGGACATTGCGCTATGCTGGAGCATCATATTCCAATCCAGGAGTGGACTAGTACCAGTTCCCATTTGTGCTGTTAACGATAATAAACCTTTTTTTTTTTTTTTTTTTAGGGAAAGGTGCCCTGGCTTTGTGTTTCTTGGTTGGGGTGGGAGAGGTTGCTTTCGGGGTGTCAGCTTTCTTTCACCCGTTTCTCCGTGCTGTGCGCTAGGAAGAAAGGCGCCTCCAATGTCGTCACCGCCCTTGCCCCGCCCCTTTACGTGCCGGCCTCGCCCCTCACGCCGCCCGCTGCCTGCGCCGCCGCAGTCTGCCACTTCCCTGCGCGCCTGGGGCTCCTGGGCTTTCCGCCGCGCTACAGCCATCCGGTCCGCTAGCCACGTGTACCGATTCCGGGCTCACAGTCCTCACGTGGTTCCATCAAAGGCAGAAACTTGCTGCGCTTCCAGCTTCTCTGTTTGCCCACATCTCATCTCGTTCCCATGGCGACCCTGGTGTTGGAGGATGGGTTGGTCCTGCGGGGCCAGCCCTTCGGGGCCGCTGTGTCGACTGCCGGAGAAGTGGGTAAGCAAGCCCGGTCCGGCTGCCGACCTCATCCCACTCTGCTGGCCCTCTTTGCCCAGCCTGCCCTGTCCAGACCCCGCCATTTTCCCGCCCGCACAATCCGCCTGCCCCCTCTCCCCGCCTTTCGGCGCCCAAGTCCTCGGCCCAGCCCCTTTCATCTCATAGTCAGGGCAACCTTCACTGGGGCGTTCTCATCGCGTGGGGGCAGTGATCTGAAGGTTGTCCTGCCTGAGCCTCAGACCTGCCTCTTTCTTGCAGTGTTTCAAACAGGCATGGTCGGCTACCCCGAGGCCCTCACTGACCCTTCCTACAAAGCACAGATCTTGGTGCTGACATATCCTCTGATCGGCAACTATGGCATCCCCCCAGATGAAGTGGATGAGTTCGGGCTCAGCAAGGTAGCCACACCCGATGCTTTCTTCACGTTCCTTTTCAAATCAGTGATTATTAACTGTTAGTCAAGTGAAGACATTGACAGTCTGCTAGGCGCCCTGGAGAGGACAAAGATACCAAAGTGATAAAACAAGTACTATGCAGGGCTTGTTAAGTACTTTGGAAAGCACAGTGCTGGAGGCTAAGCCAAAGAGGCTGGGCTTTGGTAAGGAACCAGTGGCGGAGGAGGGGGAGGAACCAGTTAAGATTTTTCAGTAACAGAGTCCTATGAAGGAGCAGCGCTTTAAGACTAAATAGACTAGTGGGAAATAGACTAGAAACTAGGGTCACACTCTTTCCAGTGACAGCGGGTCCCAGTTCACCTACCAAACCAATGAAGCTGATTATCATTTTCTAAACCTACTTTCCTTACCTTGCTTCATTTTCGACCACTTTTCAGTAGATTTCTTATATCTAGATAAGAAAACTCAGCTTCTTCCCACAGTGAGGTCTCCCCTATTCCTCCTCTCCTGGAATTTGTAAATTAAGTTGCCCTCTGAGAGTTCAAGCAATAATAATAACAACAACAATAATAATAATAATAAAAAACATAAGAGGGGAAGTCACCGTAGCCTAGGCACAGTCTTTCTCAAACTTGTTTTGTCCTGAGCCCAGGCTTACTGACCCTTAGTTATTAGTTTGCCTTCCACATGGGAGAGGGCACTCTAGGTAAGGGACACCCTTGTTATTCCTCAAAAGGACCATTCTTCACTACAAACCTATAAATACAATGCATTCTAGTTTATAATGCAGTATCTTAGTTAACATATGTTGATCTTCAGCTGGAAACACTGGCAAAATTGATTGAATAAACCTGCAGAATTGCGGCCCTGATAGAACTAGGGCAAGGACCCCTAGAGCCACCAGACCACCGCAGATGCTTTTGTGGCACGTGTGTTGTAAACACACTTGTCCATGTACAGACAAGTCCTGGACACAGAGGAGTCTACTGAACTATCCTTCAAATCCCTAAATAACAGTCTCAATATTCATCTTCCTTTAATTCTTCCACTAGCAGATGTAATTTGAATGTCACTTCCTCCCACATAAATGACTTGTTTCTCTGTTTAATTATTAAATGCTTATCTGTTGGATAACAAATTTGTGTTACCTTTTTAAACTATAAACCCCTATGAAGGGGGAGGGTTTAATCATGCATATTATTATTATTCCCTGAACCTTTATTTTTATTTAGTAAGGTACTGCGCACCACCTGTCATAAACACTGTTTATCACACTCTGTAATTATGACATTTATTTATGTTACCTTGTTAATTTTCATGCTCCCTGAGTAACAAATTAACACTGTTAGGACTATTAGGAACTTTGTCTTTTTTCATGCTGCACTGTTATCTTCCTGGGCTCTCAGTAAATCTTTATTGACTGCTACCATGTATCAGTCACCTTGGTCTTGAGTTCACAGTTGTGTGAGGAAGGTGCAAACACATTCATATTACCCTGTACGTAGCAAGAGCAATGGAAATGAAGTGAGCTTAGATGAGCTCTAAGGAGGAGGCACAGGCTGCAGTTGGGTGAGGGGGTAGCTTCACAGAAGAGGGGATCTGTGATCTCAGTTTCAGATAAAGAAAAAGGAAAACTAATGAACAATTAATCAGGCACCCTGGGCCCGTGTATTCAGTATTTCATATGGGAGACAACACTGCTGGTAAAGGGCAAAAGCATGAGGCGCTTGCTGTGTTGAAAGAGCGGCAAGTCAGTGTGGCTGAAGTACAGGGTCCATGCCGTACCAGGGGGAGACGACATAGGAAGGTATGTGACCCTGGGCTCCTCACGACCTCTTCCTTCCATCAACAGTGGTTTGAATCCTCGGGGATCCATGTGGCAGGATTGGTGGTGGGAGAGTGCTGCCCCACACCCAGCCACTGGAGTGCGAGCCGCACCCTGCACGAGTGGCTGCAGCAGCATGGCATACCTGGCCTGCAAGGTATGGGGCAGACGCGAGTGTGTTCGGGCAGAGCACAGGTGCCCGGACAAAAAGAGTCAAGAGAAGATCCGTGTGCATTATTGGGACTTGACTCCAAGGTTGTGATAAAGTGAATCTGATTGGAAGGTTTAGCTCGGGGTCTGGGGCAAGGACCTGAGCTCTTGCTCACATGGGAAATTTCACACATACAAAAGGAGAGAAATATCTAATGAACCCCCAACTTCTTTAGCCACCAACTCAGGGCTAAACTTACTGCATCACCACTACCATAACCCCCAGATTATTCTGAAGCAAATCTTTTTTCATCCATAAATAGTTATTTATGAAGAAAGGAATCCTTTAAAAACATGACCACAATAACATCATACTTTTCTTTTTTAAAAAAATTACTTATTTATTTTTAGAGAGGGGGGAAGGGAAAGAGAAAGAGAGCTACATTGATTGGTTACCTTTCACATGCCTCCAACTGGGGATCTGGCCTGCAACCCAGGCAGGTGGCCCAACAGAAATCTATCCAGTGACCTTTCAGATTGCAGGATGGTGCCCAACCCACTGAGTCACACCAGTCATAATTGTTTAAAAAGTTAACAATAATTCCTTAATATCATCAAATGTCCAGGCAAGGTTTAAAATTTTCCCAGTTTGGTTTTTTTTTGTGGTTTTTTTTTTTTTACTGGATCTAAACAAGATCCATACATTGCATATGGTCATATCTTTTTAATTTAAGGGGCCTGGACAAATTTTATTTGACAGAAACAGGTCAGTTTTTCTTTGCAGTGTTATTTAGTGTGTTCTTTTTCTGTAAACAGATAGCTCTAGAGTCATGGTACGATTCAGATGTGACACTTCTGGCGAGCTTACCTGATGGTAGTGTGTGCTCATCAGGGTGGCCCAGCATTTTGATGCCCAGAGAGCAGCTGGGTGTTGCCTGGGGCTCTGGAACGGAAGTGCTCCTGGCAGTCTCACCCTCAGGCGTGGCTGAGGCAGGGAGTACCACCTCTCAGAGTGTGCTGTTTTGACAGGAGTGGACACTCGAGAGCTGACTAAGAAGTTGCGAGAGCAGGGGTCTCTGCTGGGAAAGCTGGTCCAGGACGAGACAGAGCCTTTAGACCTGCCATTCGTGGACCCCAATGCCCGCCCCCTGGTGCCAGAGGTCTCCATTGAGGTACAGAAGTAGAGTGGGAGAGTGTCTCAAGCTATAGCACGGTAGCTGTATTCTGCCCATAACGGGGAAAACACCTGAGGGAGAATCAGAAGAGGCATCAGAAGTTAAGGGTTGGTGTGTGCATGTCTGTACCCGCTGATCACAGCTGCCAACTGTCACCCTGTATTTCTCAGGCTCCACGGGTATTCAATGCCGGGGGTGCCCCTCGGATCCTTGCTCTGGACTGTGGCCTCAAGTATAATCAGATCCGATGCTTGTGCCGGCGTGGGGCTGAGGTCACTGTGGTACCCTGGGACCATGCCTTGGACAGCCAGGGTGAGTACTGGGGCCTCTGTAGGACCACGGACAAACAGCATGGGTGGAAGTTCTGCCCCTCAACCTAATTGCTAAAAGTCAACGTGAGTTGCAGGGGAGACAGTGAAGATAAGGGCTTTTGCTCTCGTGGTAAGGGCTTCAAGTGCGTCTCTAGTTGAATACTGGTTTTGATGTCATCTCTTTTACCCATTCCAGAATATGAGGGTCTCTTCCTGAGTAATGGCCCTGGTGACCCCGCCTCCTATCCCAATGTGATATCCGCATTGAGCCGTGTCTTGTCTGAGCCTAATCCCCGGCCTGTCTTCGGGATCTGCCTGGGCCACCAGCTGTTGGCCTTAGCCATCGGGGCCAAGACTTACAAGATGAGGTGAGACTTGTAGGGAGAAGAAGGGCCAACACTGCTGACATGAGGCGGGGAGCCCTGGGAACGGGCACAGCATCGGTGTGTGTGAGTGTTGGAACAGCAGGAGCTGGTGAGAGGCCTGAGTACAGTGAGAGCTGGGTTTGACCCAGAGGCAAACAAGGGTGAAAGGGGCCTGCGACTCAACGGACTTCCGTCTCCAGGTACGGGAACCGAGGCCATAACCAGCCATGCTTGCTGGTGGGCTCTGGGCGCTGCTTCCTGACCTCCCAGAATCACGGGTTTGCCGTGGAGACAGACTCGCTGCCAGCAGGCT